TATGCAGTGTATTTCTTTGGACTGTGGAAAAGGAAAATTGTTCTCTGAGATCCTTAAATATGAAAAAATGATGCTGGCCTAAAGACATAGTATACAATTGTCTTTTTAAAAGTTTTAATATTTACAATGCATTTATAAATACTTGTCTCATTTGAATTAATTTGATAGTTAGGATGATGTTTGGATGTACTTTACCTGCTTGTAAGCAAGGTTATCTTTAGCACAATAACCTCATAGTGCTCACATCTGGCGGTTAGCACCATCTACTGGCAAAGGAAAAAAATAATTTGGTTTTGTCATAATACATATTTATTGCTTGGGAGACAGTACACACTTTCATAGGATTTTTTTGTAAAGCTGTTTCTGAGGGAAATGAAAATTTTACATTTTTGTTATATGATTATGATTTCCTTAAACTTCCAAGTATGAATTACTATGTACTGTGTATTTACATAACTGAGATTACATATAGGTGAGAAAAACAAGAGATACAGTTTTGTAGGTGTCATTCTGTTTATTTGTTTCAAAGCATATGAACAAAATTGTTAGCATGTTAGAGTAATAAGAACGAGGTGTCACATTAGGCCAAGGTGTACTGCATTTAGTTTCTTGTTCTGTGTTGGCTTACTTAAGTGATATGTAATGTCTTTGATAAAGAAGTGGAATTGATAGGAGAGTGAAGATAGTTCTTGGTGACTAAACCTGGTGTATTAGTCACATCCTGTCACGGGGACAGAGTACCATCATCCACGGCTTAATTTGGCTCAGGATTTCGGGGATTCAAGCCAGGTCATCTGGCTTCAAGGCAGAAATACCGTGGTAGAAGGCATGGCAGAAGAAAGCTGCTCATGTCACGGAAACCGGGAAGCTAAGGAGAAGACGTTGGGGAGGGAAATACCCCTCCGAAGCTATATCCTTGGTGATGCATCTCTTTCAACGAGGCCCAACCTTTTAACAGCTGTGAACCCCTCAATGGGTCAGTGCTCTGATGAGTACAGTACACCTGTGATCCAGTTGCCCTCCAAAAATCCTACCTCTGCACGCATGAGACTTCAGGGGATTATGCTAGATCTAAATCTGGAAAATTTCTTTCTGGTCACCTCTTGGTATTAACCTAAATTTGACTTTTATCTTTCTTGAACCCGTTTAACTTTCACTTGCTGGTGGCCCAGGATCTTGCTTATGTCCTATTTTTGATTGATTTTTGTTGTTGTCTTTTTTCTCTGTTAACCTACTCTATGTGACTTAAAATTGTGTAAAAAGTCCATTATTATCTTCTCATTTTATTTCTTTCTTCAATTTTTCCTGGTATGCTTGCTTGCCTGCTTGCTTTCTTTCATTTAAAGAAAGAATAAGCAAACAGAAAAAGGGTAGAAATAATACATAATTTCAAGGAAAAATTAAATGGTAAGAAATCACTAGTTGATAATTACTTATTCTCTTACAAATCGTTCAAGTTACAAAAATGAAGCATTACAAAGTGGACATTCAAACAGCGAGACTGCACACAGTTCAACTATCCAACAAAAACTTAGTAATACGGTTATCAATCCTATACACCTAAACATACATGTGGCTATCCATACCTTCATGTATGTTAAGATTAAACAAACCAAAGTAGGCTAAAATCACTCTAAAAAAAGAATAATAGTATTGCTGGATTTCACATCATGACACTATGGGATCAGCACTAAGTACTGTAGTGTCTCTTTTTTCTTCAAAGTAGTTGTTCATTTCATCATGCGTTATAAAATCAGTTCTCATAAACTGTTTATAGGTTCTACGCATGCATGAGCCTTTACATGTATTTCTATCCTTTCTATATTAGAGGGAGAAACAAAACAAAGCAAGACAAAACAAAACATACTCCTATAAACACATGAAACGAAAAAGTCATATAGCCTGCTTTCTTTCTTTCTTTTTCTTCTTTTCTTTTCTTTTTTTTTGATACCTGGGATTGAACTCATGACCTCGCACTTGCCAGGCAGGCACTTGTGCATTGAGCTATGTCCCCAACCCTTCCTGGTGTACTTTCTTTAGGCACTTTATAGGTAAAAGGTATTTTAGGTGTTAAAAATTTAACTAAAGGCAAGATTTTAATCTTTTGAGAAAGAGTATGTGTTAGTTACTTTTCTTGTTGCTGGAACAAAATACTTGACACCCAAATTTAAGGAAGGAAAGGTTTATTTTAGCTCACAGTTTGTGGTGGTTTCAGTCTGTAATCAGCTGGCTTCAAGTCAGGATGGCATGATCAGAGGCAACAGTTGAAAGGGGGAAAGGGGGGCTGGGGATTTAGCTCAGTGGCATAAGCACCTGCCTTGCAAGCAGGCAGTCGTGAGTTCGATCCCTGGTACCAATAAAAAAGAAAAATACAAAAAAAAGGGGGGGGGGCAAAAGACAGCAGAAGCACCAAGAACAAAAGGACGGGGGAAGCAAGCCTCTTCTGCTGCCTAATATTATAAGTAGACTACCAGTCACTCAGGGCAGATGTAGAATCCCACAGTCTCTGTGCCTGGTCTTACTCAGACTCTGGATGTTTACAAAGTGAGGAGCTGAATGTAGCTTAATTAAACTTGTAAACTTCTCAGGTTGGCCGATATAGCAACTATAACAGAGGGGTATGTTGATTACTTGAGTGTTGGTTAAATGATCCCTTAAAGGAATTTAAGAAATCTAATTTATGTTATAGAACAGTAGTGGTGGTTTGGAGAGCTGTTGGTCTAGTTTGTTTACTTGTAAGTTGGTGAACACAATGAACAGCTGTGCTTTTGCTCTGTGGCACTCAAATGAGAACAGTTTTTGTTTAATGTTAGCTTTTTGGGCATATACTTTAGAAGTCTTGATTAAAGACTTATTGATTCAGAAATAGTGATAATTATAAATTTTAGACCATATGCTCAAATACCATGTAGCTCTATGTAAAATGTCCAAGATTTCTGTCATGTATAAATTTTTAATTCATGTTTGAGATCCATGTAGCATTGGGAATAAAAATGGGGTCATTTTTAATTTTTTTTGTTCCTTTGAGCATTTTACTTTTGAACATTAATTATTGCTAAGGTGAAACCAAGTCCTCTCCTTTCTTCATCTAATCTACTATAGATATCAAAAAAACATTTAATTAAAAACAAAATTTATTATTTGTATATGTACTCTTTTTTCCTATTAACTAACCAACTTTTTATTTTTTAAATTTTTAAATTTTTATCAGTACCGGGGATTGAACTCATGACTGCCTGCTTGCAAGGCAGGTGCTTATGCCGCTGAGCTAAATCCTCAGTCCCAACTAACCAACTTTTTAAAATTAGTTTTATAGTTAGAGAAGTGTGTAAAGACTTATGCAATGTGTGAGCATGTAAAATTTGTAGTTGTTTTCAAAAATAATTTTATTACTCTTAGGTACTTCATTTATTTTTCCCTCAAACTGTTTTGTCTCAACTGGTCCTTTGGTTTATTTTACATTGTTGTCTCTCATTTGTTTGCTAATAAATGGTATAATTCAGAGCTACTTTTCATCACTCTGACTTTTGGGTTGGGGGATATTGAGATGAATGACTGTCATCTAAGTCCATTATAATTTATATGCGCATTATAGCCTTTGTTTTATATTATAAAGCCTTTGTTTTATAATATATATATATATATATATATATATATATATATATGGCTATTCTTAGGCTTAGAAACCAATTGTTTTAGTTGTACAGAGCCACTATTAATCTGAGCAGAGATGACTGAAGTACTACCTCTAAAGTTGGGGGTATAGCATAGTGTTTCAGTGGGACTTTGGAGGACAGGAAGGAATTAGTAAGTGGAAGTGAAGAAGAACCAGTGATTAAGGCTGTTAAGCAGTATTTTGGCAAATATTTCTTCTTTGAATACATTTGAGATTTCTGACTATGAAGTATGAATTGCAGAAAAAGTAATAGCTGCCTTAAAAGAGATATGGTATTTTCTTCATGCAGTATATTCTATATCAACGCATTAGAAAGAATGTTTATTCTAAGCACAAAGTTATTTACCACAGTGTTATAAGAGTGGAAAGAAAAAGGCAGTGTGTTTTCTAGAACATGCTACTGGTTATAGTCACACAGATGCTTAAAACAAATGAGGTAAGTTTTTTAAAAGTTATTGGAGAAGTAGTGAACTATCCTTTAACAGCATTATTTAATTGGTTAAAACTAAGCTTACTTAACTAAATGAAGAACTGGCTTCGTATTCTTTCAATTGTGTGAAAATCTGTTTTTTAAAATAAAAGTCTACTTTTCTTGTGAACTGTCAGTTACCTTTTTGTGGACTGCAGTTCGTATTCTGCACAGAGGGATGCAGGTGAAGATGTTAGTAGAGGCTGAAATACAGTTTCACAAACACCCTTTTCTCTAATAAATTTCCAGGGACACAAAGAACCTGTTGATGATTATACATTCACTTAATTTTATTAGATTTGGCACTTAGCTTCTGAATAGTATAGATAGAATTTAGGAACTCACTCGTACTTTATACATCCATAGAATATTCAGATAGCCAATATTTACCTTCCCCTCTGATCATGGCATTTTGGGACATTGTATGTATGTTTCGTGTGTTTAAAGAAAAATCTGCCTACCCATCTCTGCTTTTCTTTTCTTTTTTTTTTTTTTTTTTTTGGTGCCAGCAATCATCTCTGATTTTCTTTTTTTCTTTTTCTTTTTTCTTCTCTTCTCTTCTTTTCTTTGTCTTCTTGAGACAGGGTCTCGCTATGCACTTCAGGCTGATCTAGGGCTCACTTTGGTAGCTTAGGCTGGTCTCAACCTTGCAATGATTCACCTGCCTCAGCCTCCTCCGTGCTGGGATTACGGGAGTGCACCCCACACCTGGCTGTCTCTGCTTTTCTTGAACTCAAAATTTCAAGTTTATAATTTCATTTGGTTATACTGTATTGTTAGTACTTACACATTAAATTTGTATTTCTGTCCTTCTGATTCTCTTCACATATTAAACTATTTACATTTTAATTTCAGGTATATTACATTTTTTTGCCCGTGTGACCTAGTTTCCCAGGCCTACTCATTTCTGCCTGTTCAACTCTTGGCTGCTGCAATGAAGGAAGTGACCAGAACTTGGAAAATAGTAGGTGGAGTCACACATGCTAATAGCTATTTCAAAAATGGCTGGATAGTCATGATAGCTATTGGATGGGCCAGAGGTAATACTAACCACGTGTGCTCATAATATCCTCTTACCGATGTTCCGTAGCTTCTAAATAGTGAGGACTGCATAGTTCAACCACAACAGTTGTTTTGGAAGGGGGGCCTTGTTTTTTGGCTCATAAGGTTGCTTTTCACCAGCCATTATCTATTACACTGAATGTGACTGTCTTTTTGTTTTTGCTTTATTTGTTTATTAGTGTGTTTCTGTGTTGTTCAGGGTGACCTGGAACTCAGTAATTCTCCTGCCTCAGCCTCCCAAGTACTGGGGTTATTGGGGTGTACCATCATACTGACTTGAATCTGACTGTCTAATATAAAATTTTTATGATTGGTTTCATTAGGAGCCCCTGAAGCAGAGGAATTATTTTACCATAAATAAAATGTTTATGTAAGAAATTACGTGATTCATGTGAATAACAAACATTGCTCTTTTTTTTCTTCTCAAACTCAAATGACTGGGAATAGTAAATGTGGTTGACTATGGACTCCTGCTCACACTGTCAGTGGCTTCTGCTCTTGTTTCATAGATAGTAATTGAACAAGTCCCCCAAAGCACTTACTGCGTATGTACTGAAAACTGATCGTATGAGAAAAAGAAATGATAAAGCCATGGTGTTTTTTCCTTCCCAGGTTTCAAACAAACGTGTAGCTATATTCTCTGTGCTTGAGGCTCCAATGTTACCTTCATTACAGGGAACAGTTCCCATGCTAGTGGAAAGGGAAAGCCGCAGTGGTTTCAGTACCCTAAATACAGAGCGCAACTTTTTTTCTTCTCAAGACTTCTTTTTTGCCACTTATCTTGAATTCTAAATCATGATTTTGAATTATGTCACCCCTGAAATATTTTCTTTATTTTTTGTTTTTCTGTTCTTTAAAGGCAATTGGCTAAATATTTTTGTTTTCTTATTTTCAGGTGCTGGTGGTGCCATTTTGACAAAATTTGAGCAGTTGGTAAAAGGAGATTGGAAACCAGGAGGTGATGAATGGTTGAAGATGTCCTAGTATGTTGGTATATATTGGATTTAGATCTGGATATTTATCATTAGATTTAACTAAATTTCTTTTAAAGAACATTTTGGGGACTCTAAATTTGAATGAATTATAGCTAAAAAATAGTAACGACAGTGGAAGAATTAGAAAAATTTATTTTTTCCAAGAATTTGTCTTCCCAAATGAAGTTTTAAAATAAATAATAAAATAAATATTGAGGGGCTGAGGATTTAGCTCAGCGGCATAAGTGCCTGCCTTGCAAGCACAAGGTCGTGTGTTCGATCCATGGTACTAAAAAAAAAAAAAAAAAATTGATTCTCTTCTCTGTGGGCAATCTGCCTTTAGAAAATAAAGCCAAATCTCTGTTTTGTCATAGAATTGTAAGGGTATCTATGAGAAAGAACTACTTCTTTGGATGGAGATGAATTAGTTACAAGCTTTTGGCATTTTCATCAATGACTATAATATCATACTCATTTCAGATTATACATAGATATAGCAGGAAAATGACAAATATAAGGAGGAAAATCATTATATTCTGTAGGTTGCTTTAAAAATGACACTTGAGCTAAATTACATGTAAAAACAAGATGAAGAAAATAAACCACTGTGTAGTTGTATGGTGCAAAGGACATACTGAAATCTGTTTAAGAGAACTTTTCCAATGATACAGACCTAATCTTAAGTGAGTCACAGGTATATACTTGATGTACCTGAAAGTGAAATAGCTACAGTTATGTTCCTAAAGTTAGGAAAAAAATATAGGAAGAGTAACCATAATGAGCAAGTTGAATAAAGATTGCATAGAAAATAAGCTCTTGTTCAAGTTAAAAATAAAGGTTGAGCAGCAAGATGAATGATAATACACATTTGAGTGAGCCAACAAATTTTAGGGTACTTAACTTGGGAAATGAACTCTAAAGCATGAAACTACTAGTTTAGAAATAAAATATTAGAAACTTGGATTGATGATGTTACACAGTATTAGCGATATTCAAGAGAAGTTCTCCTTATTTTGAATATATGCCTTGAAACATCTTCTGTAAAACATTTCTTGTGGCTTTTATAATCAAAATCAAATTATGTTTCACCTTTGTTCAAAACCTGCCGCAGGCCCTGTATGGTTTTCCAAGATCTGCCTGGCCCACCCCACTTTGCATTGGTGTCCTCTCTTTCATCTTTTCTGTATCATTCCCCTCTATCCTTGAACAAGCCACGTGTGATTTAGTTTAGCTTTTCTCTCTGCTTGGAATCCTTTTTTCTAAGTGGCTCTAAGTAGTTTGCTTTCTTTGCTAAAATAGTTTTTCAGCATTTGTCTTTTCAGTTCAGACTACTCAGCTTGTTTCTCTTTCGCTTTTTTTTCCCCATTGCATGTATCACCTTCTAGCATGTTTTCATTATGTTTCTTTTCTATCATAGTGAATCTGTTTATTTCCTTTTTTTAAACTGTATTTTATTGGGTGATCTAATAACATTTTATCTGTTCATCTGTTGATGGCTGTTTAGGTTGATTGTAGTTTCTCGCTATTGTAAGTAAAGTTGCTGCGAGCGTTTGTATGCAATTCTTTGTGTAGACACACATTTTCATTTTATTTGTGTAAATATGTTGTCCTGCAGTATCTGGGTTATGTAGTAGTTGAAATTTTAACTTTTTGAAAACCACCAAGCAGTTAGTTTACCAAAGTATCTTTCTTTCCCCCCTGCAAAGTGTCTTAAGCGTTCTAGTGTTCCATATTGTTTCCAAAGCTTGGTATCGTTAGTTTTTTTTAATGGCTAACACAAACTTTAATAGGTATATTTCTCATAAGAGTTTAAATAGCATTTTTCTTTGGACTAAGGATTTTGGGTTTTGTTTTTTTGTTTTATTTTTTTTAATATGCTTATTGGCCTTTTCCATGTTTGCTTGACTGTCTTTATATCTTTGTCTATCATCATCATCATCATCATCATCATCATTATTTGGTTGTGTGAGTTACCGAATTGTAATAATTCTTTGTGTTTTCTGGATACCATTTCTGGATTGGGTATCTGGTCTTTTGATAAAGTTCAGTTTAACAATTTTTAAAATGCTTTTGTATTCTGTGAAATATTTGCCTATCTCTGAGTTGCAAAGCTGTTCCTCTTAGATTTTGAAGAAGTTTCTAATTTAGCTTTCACAATTAAGTTAGTGAACTATTTCATATTCTTTTGAAAGTAGTAGTATGTAGGATTTGATACTTGTTTTTTTCTTACATGTCCATTTGTTACAATACCATTTCTCGGAAAGGCTTTCCTTTGTTGGTTGTATTGACTAGTTACTTTTTTTTGTACCTTTAACTTTTTTTAATTTTAAAGAGGAAAAAATAAAACATTTCTAAACACAACATTTTGGGGTTCACAATGATATATATATTGTGTTTTGTTATTTTCAAATCAGTTACTCAGAGCACAAGCATTTAATTGAACAGTACTAGCACAAACCTTTCTCATCAGTGAACTCAGAGAAATCAGTAGTATAACTATTGTAACTATCTTTTTTGTACAGTTTCTTTCAGCTTCTCACATTAACGAGACAATGTGGTGTTTATACATGCATGTCTCATTTATTTCACTAATAAATATGGTCTTGTTTATCCATTTACCTATAAAAGTCTCACGTTTATGCTTCTTTATGGCTGAGTAATACATCATTGTATAAAAATACCATATCTTCTTAATCCATTCCTCAGTTGATGGGCATTTAGGTTGTCTCCAAGATCTAGCTCTTACAAATTGTGCAGCTATAAACATTGGTGCGCATATATATCACTGTGACAAAATGTTTTTAATTCTTCTGGGAATATATTCAGAAGGGGAATAGCTGAGTCAAGTGAGACTTCCAATCGTAATTTTTTGAGGAGTCTCCACTCTGATTTCCATAGTGGTTGCACCAGTCTATACTCCCACCAAGAATGGAGAAGAATTCCTTTTCCCCCACAGCCCCTCCAGCATTTGTCATTGGTTGATTTCTTAATACTCGCCATTCTTTCTGGGGTGAGGTGGAAACTGTGTAGTTTTAATTTGCATCTCCCAAGTGACCAGTGATGTTGATCATTTTTTCAAATATTTATTTGCTATTTGTATTTCTTCGTCTGAGAAGTATGCATTCATCTCAGCTGCCCACTTTTGGATTGGGTCTTTAAATTTGGGAGGACTGTTTTTGTTGAGTTCTTTATATGTTCTTGATAGTAATCCTTTGTCTGAGGAACAGCTAGTAAACATTTTCTCCCACATTGTGGGTTATCTCTTCACTCTGTGATTTCTCTTGCTGTGCAAAAGCTTTTTATTATAAGAGCAAAAGCTTTTTAATAAGATGAGATCCCAGTTGTTTCTTTGTGACAGTTCTGTGCAATCTGAGTTTTGTTCATATGGTCTTTGTCTACACCTGTGTCTTCAAGAGTTTTATTTATTCTTATCTTGCAGTAGATTTATTGTTTCTTTTTAATATTTACATCTTTTATCCATTCTGAATTTAATTTAGTGCATGGTGAAAGATAGGAGTCCAACTTTAATCTTTAGCATGTTCAGAGCCAGTTTTTCCAGTACCATTTATTAAAGAGACTATCTTTCTTCCAGTGAATGTGTTTAGCACCTTTGTCAAAGACAAAGTCGATGGGGCTCAGGATTTAGCTCAGCAACGTAAGCGCCTGCCTGGCAAGTGTGAGGTCATGAGTTTGATCCTTGGTACCAAAAAAAAAAAAAAAAAAGAGGCACATCCACAAAGATAAGGTAGATTAGTGTATCTGGAGTTATTTCTGCATCTTCTAATCTGTTCCATTGTTCTTCGGGTCTTTTTTTTTTTAATCATAGTAGCTTTACAGTATACTTTGAAGTCAGGGATTGTGATACCCTCTGTCTTGCCTTTGTTGCCCAGGATTGCCTTTGCTATTCTAGGTCTCTTCTGGTTTGAGATGAATTTTAGGATTGTTTTCTCTAATTCCATGAGATAAATTATTGAAATTTTTGTTGAAATTCCATTTGAATCTGTGTAACAGTTTTGGAAGTATGATCATTTTCACTATGTTGATTCTTCCTATCCAAGATCATGGAATGTCTCTCCATATTCTAGTATCTTTTTCAATCTCCTATTTCAAAGTACAGTAGTTTTCAATGTTGATGTCTTTTATATCCTTTATTAGATTGATTTCTAGGTATTTCATTTTTGGGGTGATATTGAAAAAGGTGTTACCCTGCCTTCTCTCTCAGTGAGTTTGTTATTTGTATGTACATTTAAATTCTAATGAGTAGGTCAGAAGGAAGTGAGAAGCATATTAGAGAAAGTGTAACTGGCCCAGAGAATATACAGAGTGTCATAAATAGAATATTGTAGAAAGATACCTTAAAGGTACTGGTGTACTCAGAAGGAAAGAGAAATGTGACATTGGACACTTCGTCCTAGAGCTGACACTATTTCATTTGAGTCAGTTGGAGGCACTGCTTCTCCATTCTGTACAGTAGCCTGAAATTGACAATGATGGGAATGTTTGCATCGTGAAAATGAGCAGATACTACAGATACAGGCTTTTTTCTCTACCTCTCACTCTTAAGAACTTATTTAGCTCTGAAGGGTTTGAAGACTAATTCTGAATCATACCATGGAGTATAAGACTTTGAAGTCTTTTGAAAAAGTGTTCTATTGCTAAATATGTTTGCATATTTGCTTTATAGAAGCATATTCACTTAAATGTTTTTATTAATACATACGTGAATGTATTTGTTTACAGTTATCATGGGGAATAGGTATATGTACTTAACAAGTATTTTTTAAATTCCTTTTTCCCTCCCCTCCCGTACCCTTCCCTCACTCTTTTCTCCATCTCTAGCTCCCCTCCCCATTTGCAGAAGATCTATCTCCCTGTTTTCTATTGTCTATCCTTCATTTTGTTTTTAAATTTATACTTTGGTTTCTCATATGAGAGAAGTATGATATTTAAGTTTGTATGTCTGACTTAGTGTACTTAAAATTATGATCTCAAGGCACATTGATTTTCCTGCAGATGACTCAAATTTACTCTTTTGGCAGAGTAGCATTTCATTGTGTATAAATAACCACATTTTCATTATCCATTCATTTGTTGATGGATATGTAGGCTGCTTCCAAGATTTAGTTGTTATGAGTTGTGCTGCTGAAACTGTGAAAATGCATTGTGCACGTGTATCTATAGTGTGATGTTTTTTATCTCTTCTGGGGAAATACCTAGTAAAAGAGTAACTGGTTGAATGGGATTTGTAGATTTTTCAGAACTCTCTATGTTGACTTCCATAGACTTGTACCGATTTATGCTCCCACCAACCACATAGAAGGGCACTTACTTCCTCCCAGCATTTTTTAATCATTTGGTTTAGTGAAGATAGACATTCTTTCTGGAGTAAGATGGAATCTCAGTGTTGTCTTAATTTGTGTTTCTTTGATGACAAAGATGTTGAGTATCTTTTCATATATTTGTACTTTTGAGAAGTGTCTGTTCATTTCAGTTACCCATGTTTTGGTTGGCTCTTATTTTGAGGGGTCTGATCCTTTTAGTTCTTTGTATATTCTGATTCTAGTCTCTGTCAGAGTAGTTAATAGAGATTGTTTCTCTTCCTGTGGGTTGTCTCACTGTGTTGTACTTTGCTGTGCAGAAGCTTTTTGATTTGATGTAATCCCATTTGTTGATTCTTGGTATTATTTCTTATGCAATTAGGGTTCTGTTTAGAAAGTTCTTTCCTGTGCCTCTTTTATCTATTTTATGATCCTTTATCTATTTTATCATCTAACAGATTAAGTGCTTCTGTTTAAATATTCATGTCTGACACATTTTTATTTTGGTACATGGTGATAGCTAAGAGTCTAGATTCAGTCTCCTATATGTATGTAACCAGTTTTCCCACTACCATTTGTTAAAGAGGTTATCATTCTTCTACTATATGTTTTTGGCCCCTTTGTCAAAAATCAGATGACTTAATGTGGTAGGGATTGTTTCTTCATCTTCTATTATAGTGATTTACAGGTTTGTATTGTGTAGGTGTCATGCTGTTTTTATTAGTGTAGCTTTGTAATGTAACTTGAAATCTAGGATTGTGATTCTCCTTCACTGTATCAGAGGAGCATGTTATATATGTACATTCTAGAGTATTTAATAGTTTTTTTTTCCTGTGAAGAAAGTACTTAACTTTGTATAACTTAGCATGTATAAAACATAAGTATATTGACAAAACTCAGTTTTTTGTTAATGTCAATTAATAGCCCACTAAATTAGTGATTTACAGATTTAGATAGATCATGTTTATTACTTACTCAAAATATGTTTTATTTTCAGCCCTTCCAAGTTAACTCTAATGGGGTCAGTTATCTTCACGTTCCAGCACACCAACCATTTGGCAATATCAGAGCATAATCTTATGTTCTTTTATACCGTCTTTCTTGTGACCACAAAGGTAAGAGTTTCAAGTACTTATGTGTTAGTGTTACCAATGCTGTATAATCTTTCTCCTTTGATAGAATTTTTGTTACTGAGCCAGTAACAAGAATATTTTGTATTGTTATTAAAAATGGCAAGAAAATTTTAGTGAGTTTATTTAGCATATACCACAGCTTTCTGTAATTTCTCATTTGCTTTATGTTGAGGCTAACGGAAAACATTTGCAGATAGCAGATTAGTATATTGGAAGCTAGAAAGTAATGGAAATAGTTAAGACTGATCAGTGACTACGAAGATAATGTTGCATTTGTAAGATGAGGTACATAGAGTAGATATCCTCAGATTTTCTTTAAGCTCTAAGATGTTATATTTGGACATATTTATGGTCATTCTCCTTTTTTAAATTATTGCTTAGTTGGAAGCTTTATTTGTGAAGACGAGAGTTCAAATGGTGTCAAATTATCAGCTTTAGAGATAGGTAGTGTTGGTTTCAAATTGTCGTTTTGTCACTTATTCATTGAGTATGCAGGTCATTTATATCTCTATGTTGGTCATCTTTCTATTACTGGGACAAAATACCTAACATACACAGCTTAACAGAAGGAGGGCTTCTTTTGGCTTACAAGTTCAGAGGGTCCAGTCATGGTCAGTGACTCCCAGGCAGAAGCATGGTGGAAGAGCTTAGTGGAAGAAAGCTGCTGACCTCGTGGCAGCAAGGAAGAGCCAGAGAGGAAGGGATCGGTGATCAGATTTAGTCCCCACGCCATCCCTCACAGCTAACTGAGACACACCGGAGATGTGCTTTATGAATCTCCTAGGTCTCTCTCAGACGAATCAGTTTGACAATCAAGATTAGCCATTATAGTCTGAATCCCAGTTTTCTCATCTTCACTCAGTGGTTATTTAGAGGATTGGAATGATATATGACATTCTGTTATTATGCACAACACATATTCTGTGTTTTACTTATAGCTATATCATGAGGCTAATTCTTGATCATTATTATTGGTTTTTTTTTTTTACCATTATTAGGTATTGCTTCCTATTCATAAATAGATAGTTGACTTTAGAATAAGATAATCATTTAAACTTAGAGAAATTTTATGGCTATATTTGTTTCAGATTACATTTTTTTTTTAACCAAAAACTTACCTGCAGGACTCTTAAAAGAAAACAGTATATAAATTTTTATCTTAGGATGAAGTAACTATAGAGACCACTTATAATTCTGTAGTCTTTGCAGTAGGGTGGATCTGTGGCTGTAATGTACTTCAAATATCTGAGGCAATATCCCTTCACAGTCCTTCAGTTTTGAGTGGCGTGCAATTTTTTTCTAACAGTTTTATTGAGATATATTTTACCTACTAAATAATTCATATGCTTAAAATTTAAATTGAATGATTTTTAATATTTTTGCAGAGTTGTGGTGTTATTACCACAGTCACTATTAGAGTATTTTTATCACCATAACAAAAAACTCCATACCTATTAGCACATATTTCACATTATCCTTAACACCCCCAGCTATAATTCATTTTATTTTCCTATTAATGGACATTTTGATTGTTTTTCTTTTTGGCTAGTATGCATAATGAGCTTTGAACACTCATGAACAAGTTTCTATATGAGCATGTGCTTTATTTCTCTTGGCTGTATCATCTAGGAATAGAATTGTTAAGTTCTTGGTAAGTATATATTTAACTTGTTAAGAAATTGACAGGTTGTTTTCTAAAGTATCAATTTGCATTCCCATCAGCGATGTGTGAGAGTTCTAATTTCACACATGTTGTCTTTTTTCACTATAGCCATTTTAGTAGTGAAAAGTAATATTTCATTATGGCTTTGATTTATATTGGATATAAATATAAATAATGATGTACATCTTTTCATGTGTTTATTGGCTATTTGTTTATCTTCCTCAGAAAAATGCTTCCAGGCCATTTGCCCATCTTTAATGGTATTGTCTTTTTAAAGTTGTAAGAATCTTGTGTCTACCATACTCTGAATTTCAGATTCTTAAGGTTTGAATCTTAAATGTTCCCCAGAGCCATGCGCGGAGGGACTGTGGTGCTGTTGGGTGTGTGTGGGCTGCACCCTGTAGGAGGTGGAGCCTAGTGGAATGAGTTTAGGTCACTGGGTGTGTGCCCTTGAAAAGAACACTGAGATGCCGGCCTTCCTCTCTCTTTGCTCCCTGGCCATCTAGAAGTAAAGACCTGTTTTTCCCACCTAATCTCTGGCTTAATGTCCTGCCTCTCTGCAGGCCCAAAGGCAGTGTGACCAACTGGGATGGACCAAAGACTGTAAACCCTGAGCCAGAGTCTGTCTTACTTATAAGTAGATTGTCTCAGATATTTTGGTCACAGGAACGGGAAGCTGACTAACACACAGACTCTCTTCAGCTTTTTCTTTTCACCTGCTAGTATCCTTGAAAGCACAAATTTAAGCAATTTTGATGAGGTCCAATTTATCCATTTTGTTGGATAAATTTTTAAATATTTAAATTTTTCTCACATCATAGCTATAAAAAACCATTTGTCAAATCCAAGGTTGTATTTACCTTGATGTTTTTTCCTAAGAGTTTTATTATTTTAACTCTTGCATTTAGATATTTGATTATTTTAATTTTTATGTGTGGTGTGAGGATGGGTTCAATTTAATTATTTTATAGGTGTATATCTATTTGTCCCAGCACTCTTTATTCAAATGACTATTCATTCTTCTCTCATGGAATTGTCTCATCAAAATTGATTGTAAATTTGATTTATTTTTGGACACTGAGTTTGTTTATGTGTCTATCCTTATTCTATTATTGTATAGCCTTAGTTATTGTAGCTTTGTAATTAATTTTGAAATCAAGAAATATGTCTTCAGAATAGCTTTGGCGATTAGGTGACTTGAATCTCCATAAGAATTTGGTATCAACCGTTTCTGATAGGAAGTGAGTTCATATTTTGGTAAGGACTATTTTAAATCTATAAATCACTTTGGAAAAATTCCCATTTTAACTACTTAAGTCTTTCAGTTCATCAGCACAAGATTTACTTCCATTTATGTAGGTCATTTTTAATTTTTTAATGTGTAATTCTGATAGTTTTTGGTTAAATTTATTTCTGTGTATTTTATTAATTATGCTTCTGTAGTGGATGGAATTTTTTTTTTAATTTTCAAGTTATTCATTGTAAACATATAGAAATACTGTGTGTGTATGTGTATTTTCTTATATCTAGTAACCTTATTGAACTCATGTATTAGCACTAATGGTTTGGTTTTTAACTCATCCATTTGTCCAGATTCCATTTAGATTTATATTAATTTTGAAATGACTTATCATGTAAGTGTTTTTGGAGTAACTACATAGAGTTTCATTTCAAAGATAATTTTCTTGTGTGTGGGCATGTGCACACGCATGTATGTGTATGACAGGAATGTGCAAAAAAGCTTGGCAGTGATTATTTTACTTTGTTTCTTTGCTTATATTATACAGTGAAATAATTTGCTTTGTATGTTTATTTGAGATAGTAATAAGTCAGTGTATTAGCATATTCACAGGTACTCACATACTTGCAAAGAGAGTATTTCTGCCAAAGTATAACAAACTCAGACAATAGATGTGTAAAAATAGTGCATTCTATAGGAAAAATCGTGAGTTCTATGGGGAAAATAGAAAATGAATGTCTCTCAACCATGTTTAATTTCTGATATGTCTGTTGTCATCCTAATTCAGTAGAAGTATCTCTGTAGAGAGTGTTAGGTAGTCTCTTAATATGTGCAGTGATCTTAGTTACCTTTCTTGTTGCAGAGACAAAATACCTGAGGAAAGATTTATGGTAAACCTTCGTAGAGGTTTTAGTTCATAGTTGGTTGGCTCCAACAGAGTGGCATGGCAGAGGGGCATCACAGAGGAGAAGCAGTTCATGGTTGTCATGGTTTATGTTGGTGACCCCCAGGCCTCTTGCATTTGCATTATGCATTTTTGATTGGTTCATTGTCTAGAGCTTGGATTGATGGTGTCAGTGCCACACCCACCTAGGGGTGGAGCCAGCATACAATGTAATGGCAGGAAGAAGATATGTCTCTTTCTTTTGCTGTTTCCAGCCGCCATGAACTGCAGCCCTGCCATGCCACCCTGCCTTGAGCCAACTGAATATAGGTTAAAACCTTCAAAAACTGTAAGAAATAAACATTTCATTTCCCAACTTTGGGCATCAGGTATTTTGTCTCAGTGACGAGTAAAAAGTAATTTTTTAAAATATATTTTAAAAAATTTTATTTAAAGAAAGACTAAACAAAACAGAAAATAGGTACAAATAATACATATGTTTAGAGAAAAAAATGAACAGTAAGAAATCACTAGTTGATGTTTACATATTGTCATTTTACAAATAGTTGTTCAAGATACAAAAAATGGAACATGTAAAGTGGGAATTCAAACAGCAAGACCGCAAATAGTTCTGCTTAACTGTCCAACAAAAACTTAGTAACATGGTTGTCAATCCTATACACTTAAACATACATGCAGTTATCCATAGCTTCATTTATGTTTAGATTAAACAAACTAAAGCAGGTTAAAATCATTCTGAACAAAGAAAAATATTATTGCTGGATTTCACATCGTGATACTCCATGATCAGCACTGGGTACTGTAGTGTCTTTTTTTAAAAATTTAATTTAAAGAAAGATTAAACAAAACAGAAAACGGGTAGAAATAATAATAATTTCAAAGAAAAAATAAACAGTAAGAAATCACTAGTTGATGATTACAGATTGTCTTCTTACAAATAGTTATTCAAGATACTAAAGTGGAGCTTATAAAGTGGGGATTCAAACAGTGAGATTGCAACCAGTTCTGTTCAACTATCCAACAAAACTTAGAAATATGGCTATCAATCCTATACACTTAAACGTACACGCAGTTATTCTTCTCTTCAATTATGTTGAGATTGAATAAACCCAAGCAGGCTAATATCACTCTGAACAAAGAATAATACTATTGCTGGGTTTCACTTGATGGCACTC